CCGCCCCCCGCGCACCGCCCAGGGCCGCCAGCGCGGCGCGGAGAGGTCACCGCGGTGGCATTCCTCCCCGCGCGCTGTTTACGTGACTTAATGTACTTCATACGCCGCGGGTAAGTTAGGGCCGCGATAAGCGGGCGACCAGAGAAGGGTCGCTGTAAAAGCCCCACGCTGGGCGCCTCCTAGCCCTCGCCTCATCCATTAACCTTTTTACTTTCTTCTTCCCTCTCTCTTTTAAAGCTTGTTATCTAGGCCACCCATGACCGACGAAAGATCTTCCCTCCCGGCTTCTCCCAAGGCCGCTTTAACCCAAATAAATTTGGCTATTAAGGGCCAAGATGCCTGACAAAAGATCGAAAGGTGTCTATCCGTGATCGCTTAAAGAAGCGGAGGAAAAGCTTGTGGCTCTCTGATCCCGATAAAGACATTCCACCCGGCGCCGGCCTCCCTTCCCGCGGCCTGGCTGCGCCCTGACACCCTGAGATCGCGGCCTCACTGGCGCACACCTCCACGGGCCCGGCGGGACCTGTGTCCGCTGCACCGGGAATGTGGAGGTCCCCAGGCTGCCTGGGTCCCGGGGTCCGTGGAACTCCAGGCCGGACGGAGCTGGGCTCCCAAAACAGACACCCTGCACTTGCCAGAAAAACTAAACCGAGCTCACTGGGGCCTGAGTTACCGTCCCGTTTTGATTATTTTCTGATGTTGAATAATTCTACCTTCCCACCCCCCACTCCCTGGGGTTTTGCCGAGGGGCGATGTTATTCCATATCTCTGGTGGTCTGGAGCAGCCCTTCTTTGGAACCCCGGTCAGAACCGATGGGTGGAACTGGACAGCTGAATTAGACTGAGGCCAATGCGGCGGGTGTGGACTCGCAAATGAAGAGCGCGCAGGTGGGAGGCAGAGGTCCAATCCCTCGGTCATCCCCAGGTTGGCTTTGGTTATGAAATGCGGTGTTTATTATCATTATTAATTACTATTGGCATAACTACACAAAGCCTAGGGCTGCCAGCTGGGCTGAGGCCCTGCCCCTGGGGTGATCCTTTTCACTAAAGCGAGGCAGGACTATCCACTTTCCTGATCCAGGACTGAAGAGGGGGCTTGGGGAGTCAGGTGCCACGTTTTGGAGGTCTCCGCACTGAGCCATTTCTTCTTCCCTTAAGTAGATGTAGCATTCCCCCGGACTCTAGTCTCACCTAAGCCTTTTCTGCCACTTTGCAACATGGGTAGTTAAGAACCTTCAGGGGTGGCAGGTTAGAGAGACAGCGCTGGCTTCCCTGCAACGGGGATTCATTCCTCTTAGATCTTGTGCTGTCCCCTTCTGTTCTATGGTGAAGCTGGAGACAGGACTCTGAATTCCAAAGGCAATCTAACATCTTCGGTTTCTGTCTGTCACCTCATGCTGGGTCCCGGAAGTTAAAGATGACTCCCTTTTCTCATTGCCTTCCTCCAAATAAGGTGAACTCCAAAGCCATCCACCTCATCTAATCCTTCCCCCTCATCCAGCCCACCCCTCTGGGGTGGGGGGTGGGGGGGGGGATAGGAAAAACCAGAGCATCAGAAGGAAAGGGATCATTTCTGCTCCCCCAAAGGTGAAAGAGACAGAAATTTCCAACACACTAGACATGAAAGACCTGAATTTTGCTGGTATCACTAGATGTGCAGATAATGCCAATTCTAGGGTCAGAGTCCAGATGCCACTGCCCCAGAGCTGTCTCAGCTCAGAGACCTTTCTGTTTCTCTTTTCTTGGTTGGGGGGGGAGGGGGTAATGTTGCTAAGAGGGAGCAGAAAAGGAGGTGATAGATAAGCTTTTGGAGATTTGCTAAGTAACTAATGCTCCTCCTTGAGTCAATTAAAGGGGAGAGAAATGCCCCCAAAATAAAAAATTACTGCATTTGCCACCCAGAACTATGACCTCTGCATTCAGTTATGTTGCAAATATGCAGAGAATCAGGACCGAGAGTTGTCTACCCATATGCAGCCCTCCAGTTTCCTGCGCTTGCCCAACAACACTACTGAGTATATATACTGCACAAAGAGAACTAGAAGAGTTAGCTCCTAGTTTTGAAGTGTTTACAGTCTAGAAGTTTGGGACTTCTGTGGAGCCGGTTAGGCAAAGTACCACAGACAGTTTCAAAGATGGAGGGAGGTGTTTGAGCCTTTCCCTAGAAGAGTTTACCCAGGCTCATATTGTCTTCTAGGCTTCACAGTGAGTTTGTAAAGAACCGAGTCACTCTGGCTCACAGACTAAGAGAATTGCCTGGGTTGGAATCTTGATTCTGCCACTTTCTAACTGTGTGACCAGGACAAATTGCCTAACCTCTCTGTGCCTCAGATTTCTCATCTGTAACATGAGGATGATAAAAGTAACTCCCCGACAGGATTGTTTAAGGGGATTAAAAGATTTCTTAAATGGAAAGTGCTAAGAGTACCTGGCACATAGTAAGCACTATGTTAAGTGTGAACTATTATTACCAATATCTATATTGTAATAGACTCACATATACTACACCGACTTTCAATTTCTTGTGTGACCCATCTGTTCCCTGGAGCGAATTAATTTCCAAGAAAGAACTTCTTTCAGCACCCATTCAACTTTGAGTCTTGCCATTCATTAGAGGCCTCAGGCTTTTTCTAGGTACCAGCACTGAGGATTTTATTTATTGCATTATGGTAGGAAAGTGTGGGCTGAGACAAACACAGTTCTTTACTTGCTTTTGGTTCCTTTGAAGAAGAAACGTTCCTTGTTGTTCTCCCTTGCAAATCCCAGCAGCAGACTCCAGCCTCTTCTCCAGGATGAAGATAGTAATCTTGAGGCTCATCCCTTGAGAAAAGTATCCTGGTCGGCAACAGCACACCCCCCTCTCCCCCCTTCTTTCTGGCAGCAGATAGGAGTGAGTTAACAGATGGGGCCATGAAGGAGGGGAACCTGTGGACTGGCATTAGATAAAAGGGTTGGGGGGACTAATTAAATTGACCTGGTCATCTGACTAGGTCACCTCACACTTTTCACCTTTAAGTTTGGTATCACTATTTATGCAGGACACTTATTTACAGTCGTATTTTGTTAAGGAATAGAATATCAAAGATCACTCATAAGCTATGGAACACATTATTGATAGAGGAAAATCTAGGCCATTTCAGACATTTTTCAACTAATTTTCTTTCTGTTGTTGTCGGGGTTTTTCCCCCATATAGCACCCCATCTTCTAAAACAAGATCTAAACTTCAATAATGAAAACTTAAAGAGAGAGATCCATGGGACAAAACAAAGAGCACCGTTCTCTAGATAAAGTGACAGAGAAAGAGATTTGTTTTTCAGAAGGCACAGTCTGGGGGGAACATAAAAGTCTCCTCCTGCCTGCAGGTTTTCAGTGGCGTTTGTGCCCAGAGCCTGTTTTTCTCTTGTCTCTGACAGTCCTGATCTTCTCTATATTTGATTTACTGAGTGCTGTCATTTCTCTGCTCTTTACTTTCACAATCACACACTCAAACCTGATAAAGTTCAAGACCCTGAATACTTGCAGCTTTCCCAGATTTACAGTCCTCCTGCCCCCCACTCCGGCCAGCAGCCCTGAAGCTGATTGAATCCTCATGGGCAGAAGCCTTGGGGGATCAGCAGAGAGCCAGCCAGTCCAAGAGGGCTGGGTCCATGGAGTCGATAGCCCCCATGCCAGCTCCGTTAGCCAAAGCAAACTTTGGTGGCTTCCTTCCTGGAGAAAATGATGGTCAACATTCTCTCATGTTAGTTTCAACTTCCGGTTTGTAACCTGCCCACCGGCAGGTACAGGAACTGTAACTTGCAAAATTTTAAATTGGTGAGAATTGGATGCAAAATCATGGTGAGCTTGCATCAGTGCCTGATTTGCCTGGAACTACTAAACAGCTTTGTGATCAAGGGCAAGCCACTTAACCTCTCAGTGCCTCAGTTGCTCCATCCATAAAATGGTAGAAATATTACTTTCCACAAACATTAATCACCAACTAATGACTTGAGCCCTCCTCCCTGCGTGTAGCTCTGTCAGGGCCCCAGGAAAGACTGCTAGCATATGTCTGATCTGGCTCTTTGGATTCTGTCAGGTTAAATACAAACCTACAAGTTAATCTAAATACTATACCAATGGGCTAAACAAAAGGAATGATTCATCTCCAAAGACTGGACAGTTAACTCAGGCTCAAGTTTGCAAACCACTGAAATGCCTGGATGGAAGATGCTATCTAAATAACCTATTCTTTGTCTATAAGTGTATAATAAGTAACTTTAAATCACAGGATACTGATGAAAAGCAACTATTGATGATGAATATTCTTATTTCCCATATGGTTACTGTATGGGGACTTCACATTTACTAAATAATTATTTGGACATGATTTAATATTTTTAAATGTCTTGAGCTCTCAGAATTTTCTGAGTAAGGTAAACATTTTAGGCAGCAGTGGTTTAAGTAGGTCTTTAAAAAAAATCACTGTTTCAAATCCATGAACTAAAAAAGGTGTGATTTTTTTTTCCTTTTAAAATTCATATTCTAAAGAAAGCTAAACTGTCATACTATTTAAAGGGAAAATTGTGCTCACCTGTTAAGGAAGGAAGCAGAATTGTTCCTTACCTTCTTCAGAAGTTCCCCCCCCCCACCCCAATCTGTCAGGATACATCCATTAGAACATATTACAGTGTTGCTTTTTCTGGACCATAATAATATTCACCTCTACAGAGGTGAATAAAAATAGCAACTTGACTTAATGGATATCAAATAACTTTCTGGATACTCCTAAACCAGATTACTGCTCTGTTTATAATACCACAAATTAAAGGCACGCAATTATCCAACAAAAACAGTGTGAATATTACACCATTTTTAAAGGCTGACTACCACAGAGCTGGTGCCCAGCCGACTCCAGCCAAAAACCACAGTGTGGATCCACAAATAAAGCTGTCAACCTTTGCATTTCAAAGGCATCTTTCTGTAAAGAGCTCGGCCTGCTCTGAGCAGCAGTGAAAAAGCCTTGGTGAGTAGGAAAGAGCCTACCCAGTGGCTGAGCTGGTGGGCAGCACAGAATATATCCTCACTTTAGCACTGTGGCCAGACTAAGCACACGTGGAGGTTGAGAGTGTGGAGCTCTGGGTTCAGATCCCAGCTCTGCAGCTTGCTCTCTGGTTGTGTGTCCTCAAGCAAGTTTTTAAATATCTCTACCTCGCATTTTTCTTATCTGTAAAAAGGGGGTGGTAGTAACAGTAGCCATCCCCAAAGAATTGTGAGTTGGCTAAGTAAGTTGATTTTTATAAAGAAGAGTGCCTGGCTCGACATGCAGATTTGAACTGTTTGATAAATAAGTAAAAACACAAATTTCTACTTAAGGCCAGCTCTTAAGGGGAAAGGAGATGAGGAGGAAGAGAGGAGGTATTAAGCGCTCAAAAAATTAGGTAGGAAGGCGATCAAAGGCATAAAGAAAACTAAAGATATGGGAATATCCAACGTTTCCTTCTGCAGATTATTTAAGATCATAAACTCACCCTTTCTGTCTGTATAGCACCTTCCAATATGCTGTCTTCACAATGACAGATATGCCAACAATTTGATCTATGAATGGAGTCATAGGCTTTTGCCCAGCATGGCATGTTTACATCAGAGGCAAAAGTGAAAGTTGCAGAGGCAATGAACCTCTTCCAGGGTACAAATGTTTGAATGTCTAACAAATGAAAAAGGTTCTTCTTTCTGGCAGAGTCAATAACCTTTCTCACTTGAGAAAGCACTGCATGATGGCTACAACTTGGCCTGGGGTTTCCGCACCTGTTCGGTCCTCATGAGCTCCCCAGGTTGTGCCCACAGTCACAACTGACGTGATTCTAGTGACTGTAAAATCCATCCCCAAACCAGCAAAGAATGCCACAATGTGTCTCAAACACAGTGGCCCTCTTCTTCGTCCACCCACCCCCTTGCACCCCCCAAGATTATGGCTGCCCCCTTTCTGCATAGGCACTTTGTGGTCATTGTGACATATAGTAAATCACCGGTGGCTTGTCTTTACTGCATCCCTGTATTCCTCTAATCTGTGAGACCTGAGGGGCACAGATCATGCCTCATTCATTTTTATCTCCCCATTAACACACACAGTGTCTAGCACAAGTCACTCACTAAAAGCTTGTTGAATAAACTGTTGAGTGTGATAATATTGAAAATTTCAGATACAACGCTCCAAACTCAAAGCATAAAGTCCAGCATTATCAACACCACATCATTTCGCATTAAAAACAATGATATCTCACTCACTCACTCACTCGCTATTTATTTATTTATTTATTTATTTAGAGCGAGTGAGAGAGAGAGAGAGAGAGCATGAGCAGGGGAGGGACAGAGAGAGAGGAAGAGAGAGAATCCCAAGCAGGCTCTGCCCTGTCAGCACAGAGCCCCACATGGGTCTCGATCCCATGAGCTTTGAGATTGTGACCTGAGCCAAAATCCAGAGTCAGATGCTTAGCCGACGGAGCCACCCAGGCATCCCAAAACAATGATCTCTTTATATGACTTCCTAAAATTCAATTTTTTTTCTACTCCTAAATAGAATCCTCAACCAGAATGTTTGAACAGCTACTTTCGCAGGGGATTTTATATTGGCTATAGCTGATTATCAAGTGATATGTACATGAGTCATTTTCTGATCCAATAATCCTAATACAAACAAATTGTGACTACAGCTTGTGAGTTTGTGGAAATTTTCTACTCCTTAAAGAAGCTATCTTGGGACTATCATTGCAGCTGAGGCTTTGTCTTAGTTTTTATGGACTATTTCACAGTATTTTACTACCTTCCAACTTTAGAGTACTTTCCACATTTTTCTTCCTAATTCAACCACTTAGAATATTATATTGCCTGTGTTCAGAATTCTATATTAGCCAATAATTTATTAAGCCAATTGGAAAGAGCACTTTTTTTATTTTTTATAATTTATTTATTTACATCCAAGTTAGTTAACATATAGTGCAATAATGATTCCAGTGATTCATCCCCTGTTTAACACCCAGTGCTCATCCCAACAAATGTCTTCCTTAATGCCCCTTGCGCATTTAGTCCATCCCCCCACCTACAACCCCTCCAGCAATCCTCAGTTTGTTCTCTGTATTTAAGAGTCTCTTGTGTTTTGTCCCCCTCCTTGTTTTTATATTATTTTTGCTTCCCTTCCCTTATGTTCATCTGTTTTGTATCTTGAATTTCACATATGATTGAAGTCATATGATATTTGTCTTTCTCTGACTGACTAATTTCGCTTAGCATAATACCCTCTGGTTCCATCCACATAGTTGCAAATGGTAAGATTTCATTCTTTTTGATTGCCAAATAATACTCCATCATATGTATGTATGTGTGTGTGTGTGCATGTGTGTGTGTGTGTGTGTATATATATATATATACATATATATGTGTGTGTATATATATATATATATATATACACACCACATCTTCTTTATCCATTCATCCATTGATGGACATTTGGGCTGGAAAGAGCACTTTAAAAGAATTAATGGCACAGGGCACGTGGGTGGCTCAGTCAGTTAAGCATGTAACTCTTGATCTCGACTCAGGTCAAGATCGCAGAGTCGTGGGATCCAACCCCAAGTGGAGCTCTGCACTGACAGCATAGAGCCTGCTTGGGACTCTCTCTCCCTCTCTCTCTGCCTCTCCCCTGCTCATGCATGCTCTCTCTCTCTCTCTCTCTCCCTCAAAATAAATAAATAAACTTAAACAAAGAATTAATGGCTGGGGCATCTGGGTAGTTCAGTCAATTAAGTTTCTGACTTTGGCTCACAGTTTGTGAGTTGGAGCCCCATGTTGGGGAGCCTGGAGCCTGCTTCAGAGTCTGTGTCTCCTTCTCTCTCTGCCTCTCCTCCTCTCTCTCTCTCTCTCTCTCTCTCTCTCTCTCTCTCAAAAATAAACATTAGAAATTAAAAAAAAAAGAATTAATGGCTAATTGTTCAAATCAGGAAGAATTCGTTAAACATTAATGTGGCATCTACATTACCATGAATGTGAAGCAGAAATGCAACTTCCTTTTTCAAGTCTGGCCACATGCTCCTCTTTTGTTTCCATTGTGCCGATATTAAAGAACAGATTTCAGGGACATCTGGGTAGCTCAGTCAGTTAATCGTCCAACTTCAGCTCAGGTCATGATCTCATGGTTCATGAATTTAAGCCCCACGTCGGGCTCTGTGCTGACAGCTTAGAGCCTGGAGCCTGCTTCAGATTCTGTGTCTCCTTCTCTCTCTCTGCCCCTCCCCTGCTTGTGCTCTGTCTCTCTCTCTCTCTCTCTCTCTCTCTCTTTCAAAAATAAATAAACATTGAAAAATTAAAAAAAAAATAAAGAACAGATTTCAGTCTCAAGAGCAATGCCTTTTGCCATCAGTTATAACATAAAAGAACAGATTTATGACTGGCACACACTAAGCTTTTGCTTAGAAATGCGAGCCTGTTTGGATATCTCAGGTTTCCATAAAGCTGACAAATCAAAAAATGAGTTTGCTGTGGGAAATAAGGTATTCTGTGCATAAATATTTAAAGGCAAGATGTGAATAATATCCTAGAATTTCAAAAATGGTTAAAATAATGATGGCAAATCTTCAACTGCTGTGAAAACAAACAAGATACAGCTTGCTGACCAGGAAATGCACAATCCTCAAGTGCCATGCTATTCAAGAATACTGCCCTATTACAGGGTTTCACTTTTACTCACCTAAAATGAACTGGTAACAAAGAATCATAGAATGATAAAGCTAGAAGATACCTTAAACTTCCTCTGATGTGACATCCTGGTGAGAAACCTGAGATCCAGAGGGTCCCCAAAAGTTCATTTGTAAGTTGCTTATTTGGAAGTTGGAGCAGATATTCCCATAGAAATAACATGATAAGTAATGGTTAGAACCCAAATCTGTCCTTCCCCCTCTTTTTATACAGTACTGTGTATACCTGAACAGTATTACCTTCTAGTGTTGTTCACTGCATGTGTTTTGAATCTACATTGTAGGTTAATATTAGCAGTATGGTTCAGTTAGTAGAGTGTGCAACTCTTGACCTCAGGGTTGTAAGTTCAAGATCCACATTGGATGTAGAGATTACTTAAAAATAAAATCTTAAAAAAAAAAAAAAGAAGAAGAAGAAAAAGAAGGAAGACACAGCCCCTAGACATGAACCTTAATATGCTTAGGTAAATGATACCTCCACCCCTCTGTGAAGAGCTAGAATGTTTTTGGTTCTAAGACACAGACATCTTCTCTAAATGCATTGAACAGTGAGGATACTCATGTGTTCGTGTAACTGGAAGTTCAGAGTGGGGCAAGCTTCAGAGTCATTTTAACCCAGGAGCTCCTGCTCCATTTTTCCGCCACTTCCTTATATGTGCTTGCCCCCTTTGTTGACTTCATCTTTAGGTCATTCTTGTCCGATGGGAAAAGGACTGCAATGGTTCCTGTACTTCCTGGAACAAGGAGAGAGAGAGAGAGAGAGAGAGAGAGCACCCCAGCCATAGGATCTCAAGCAGGAATCCTGAGATTCACCTTGATGGGACCTGTAGGTCAGATACCCTCACCTAAACCACTGCCCTTAACTTGGAAGTGGAATGGGCTGATTGGAGTAAGCCAAGATCGTCTTGCCTCAAAGTGCGTGGGTGATGGTGTCAACTAAAATGAAAATGTGGGTCTGTTGAGATAGGGATAGAGGAGAAATGGGCAGAATACCAACAATATCCACTAAACCATCTTTCCCTTTGCCCCCAGCCCCAGCCACCCAAGGAAGGTATTATGGAGCTAAGAAAGCTAGATGAACAAAGGCAGGCATACACGTGTGGGGATCAGAGGATGGAAATGGATGTTTTTACTTCTGCTCACTTCACCCTAAAGTACAATCGACTTCCATCCTTTAGGATCCCCGAACCACAGATCCCCACTCTCTTTTCCAAATCCTGGCTACTTAAACCTTCACTCCAGCTTAGAACCTTTGGATCAACCACTGCCACTAGAAAGGAAAATGTCAATAGAAAAACATATCTTTTCTTGCATCATTTAAAAGTGGTCACGCGTCTTTCACCTTCCATTCCCATTCCACTTCCTTGTTGAAGGGAAACATAAGGGCCCCAGAAATATGACTTATTCTTTGTCTCCTGAAAAAATAGCTTTGGCATCCATTGGCTTCCCAGCATGCTTTGGGACAAAACTATATTGGCTTTTAGTTCACTTTTGATGGTCTGTCTTTAGTCAATCATGCACTAAGATTACAAGGTTAACCATGAGAGACTGTCTAAAGAAATGTACAAAGAAAGGGGGGTCAACACTGCTTTCCCAACTACCCTCACATTAATAAAAGCACATTACCCCAACTCTCTACAGAGTATCCTCTTTTTGACTAATGGCGGTTACAGTGTTTATTCATGAGCCATCGAGCTGTAAAATGTAATAAATAGGCTTGTGATGGAAAAAGAAGCTGGAATGGGATTCAGGGCAATCAGTGAAAACACAAAATAAAATAAAGGGTCAATCACTCAGGCTTCTCAGTAAAATTGTCCCACATAAAGATTGATTTCAGTCTCACTCCCACTGTATTCTAAAAATCCCACTTTCTAAAATGGTGGTTTCCCACCACACAACTGGCTCAGAGCCCAGAGCTCAATCTCTAGAGCTTTCCACAGAGTTCCAAGTATTGCAGCCTTTGCTTGACTGGACACCTGGAAGTAGAATTGTCCTACCAAGGGTTAAATTTTAAATAGTTAAGCTCTTCTTTTGCAATAATAATACTTTACATGTTTGTAATGGCTCACAGTCGTTTTGAATGCTGACTTAATAAAGAGATGTGTATGTCCGATATTTAGGAACTGAAGGATACCTTTAGGAACTGAGCAAAGTTTCCAGTCTGACACCTGATCTACCAGTCTTGGAGGTGGAATCAGCAGATGCAGAAAAAAACAAGGGCCAGAATAGAATTTTTGTTTATGATAGTGGCAAATTGTTTTTGGAAATTTTTGTCATATATTATTTTTGAAAATGAAGTTTTTGTTTCAGAGTGAAGCAAATCTGTTCCTCAGAAACAAATGCTAATATTTTTTCATTTTTATTCATTTTTTAAATGTTTATTTATTTATTTATTTATTTATTTATTTAGAGAGAGCATGTGTGTGCGTACAGGTGTGCAAGCAAGAAAGGGACAGAGAGAGAGAGAGAGAGAGAGAATCCCAAGGAGGCTCCATCCGCACTGTCCACGAAGAACCCGACTCGGGGCTTAAACCTGCAAATCGTGAGATTATGACCTGAGCTGAAATCAAGGTAGGACACTTAACAGACTGAGCCACCCAGGCACCCCTAATTTTTTTTATTTTAAATTTTTATTTATTTATTGAATGTTAATTGTTTTTTAAAGTACTCTCTCCTTTTGACTAGTTTCCAGCCCAGATATTTTTTTCCTTTTCACTAGCATGATTTTATCTTTTGTAAAATAATGTGGGGGCATGAATAAAGTGACCACAACCAACATAATAATATTAGTTGTTTTGTGTTATTAATCACTCTGGTTGGGGTACTATTGCTCTTTGCTGTATCCCAAAACCTTTTTTTTTTTTTTTTTTTTTTAAGGGCTAATGCTCTCTCTTCACTTTACACTGAGGTTTCCAGGCGTGTTTTCCAAATTATCCACTCCCCTGTGATTTACCCTACCCTTCACAGGGGCCCAGAATTAAGTCTGCAGGAAAAGGCTAGCTCATTCTCATGACACGGAAGGCCGTTCAAAAGGAAAGGAGTAGTTTCGAAACCCTTGTTTCTCAACTGTCAGCATTGAAAATCTATGGAGCAAGTGGACTTCAACGGATATAATCTTTTCGGAAAGTAACTTGATAATCAGCTTTACTAGTTGGAGAACTTATTGTGTAACATCACAATGGTGGCAAATTGTACAGAATTTATATGACCCACAGCAAGGAAATTATTAAATATAGCATATCCACACAATGGATCATTCTATTGCCGTTAAAAAACATGTTTTTGAAGAATATTTAATAAATGGAAAAATGCTCATCTTTATGGTGTAATCATCTTTATGGCTGGCAAGATAAGGAAGGGCCTTTATTTCCTCTGTGTGTGTGTGTGTGTGTGTGTGTGTGTGTGTGAGTTTTTCTATTTTACAAGTTTCTATAATGAGCATGTATTATTTTTTTGAAATAAGAAAAAAAAAAATCCCAGGAATTCAGGAAGGCCCAGGCTGGGCCCTCACCCTGGATGTGAATGAAGTCTGGCTGTCAGTGGGTCAGTAGATCAGTCAGCAAATATTTATCCAGTGCTTACTTTGTGCCAGGGACAAGGACAAACACCGGGGACACAAATGACTTAAAAATAAAACAAAACAACACTTACCAGGAGGGGTACCTGCTCTGAGGCACTGAGTTCACAGTGAGTCTTGATTGTGTGAGCAAATGCAGATGCTTGCGGTCCCATCGGTAAATGCTAATTACTGGTGCCCTAAAGAAAAGAAACTAGTTTAACAGACATATTAGTAAGTTTTTAAAATCCAAGATACCGATCATCAGAAAGTCCACCTAATCTAAAATTTCTTTCTCCTACATGCTATTTTTAGGAAAGAAGATAAATAACAAGGAAATAAGATAACGTAGATATAAATTTTTTAATTAGCTTATTTCCTACCTCATGTTTTAATTGCACCATGCAATGAGAGTTGCTGTTCATACTAACATACGATACTGTCCGATTTTAAAGAATACTCTCCCTTCGGGGCACCTGGCTGGCTCTTGATCTCAGGGTTGTACGTTCGAGTCCCACGTTGAATATAGAGATTACTTAAAAAATAAAAAAAAATTAAAAAAAAAAAAAGAATACCTTCCCTTCATCTTTGTGCTTGGATTCTTTGAAGAATGGTGTTTAAAGGGTAATGTTCAGTTAACCAGAACCTCGTAACCATTCTGATTAAATGGAAGATGCCATATTTAGAATTTAATGAGGAATCATGAGGAATTCAGCTTGAGATGAAAACAGTCAATGAAATTTACATCTGTAAGAAGCTTATGTTTAAATATTATTATTATTATTATTTGCAAGTAATAGAGTAGATTATAATGGTGAACAGTACAAAAAAAGCCAAGAGTGATAGTCTGATTGATAATTTTGTTCAAAACTACATCTTCTCTTGAAGACATATCATGTTATCCATATACAAATAGAAGTAATATACTTTTTAGACCATCCCTGATAGGAAGTAAAAAACCTCTAGGAACTGGAAACTAGTTCCAATTGTGCCACTATCTGATCCAGGCAATGTATCTACCTCCTTGGGGTTCATTTTTCTCATCTGTAGAATTGAAGTGGCAATTGCTACTTCTTTATTATTTTACAGTAATGATTTAAGAGTAACTAATATATGAAAGGGCACCTGGGTGGCTCAGTTGGTTAAGCGTCCTACTTTTGCTTTTGGCTCAGGTCATGATCTCATGGCTCTTGGGATCGAGCCCCTCATCAGGCTCTGTGCTGACAGCATGGAGCCTGCTTGGGATTCTCTCTCTCTCTCTCTCTCTCTCTCTCTCATTCTCTCTCTCTCTCTCAAAATACATAAATAAACAAATAAAGGGTAATGTATGAAAAAGTGGGTATGGTTCCTTGGCATAATGAGCTATAACTAGCCGAGGAAGATTCAGAAAATCAGGAGCCAGTGCAGATACATGAGGGTGCTCTGTCATCTCCAAGCCTTTGGCAGCCCCCTTGTGTCTTGATAACAGGAACAACACAGGCTGAGCACTAGATAAATATTCTCTTCTTTTGCTCTAATGGAAGGATGACCTAGGGCTATATGGGTTACAGAAATCTATGAAACCTGTCCAAGGAAATTACAACTAATAACAATAGAAAGAATAACAAAAATAGTAAAATCATCACTTGGAAACAGTAATAATTGGTTCAGAGAAGTATCATCACCAAAAGCTAAAATTTGTCAGTGAAAGTATAATGAGAAACAAGTCCCCACAATACTAAGAGAAAAATAGTAACTTTATAGTAACAGAATCTGACTGACACCACCTTCACCAGGTGATTAAAGTTAACATTACTTGTAATGGGACAGATGTACATCATGTGCTTCCCACAGAGATGTTCTGAGAAGGACCCAACATCGATATGGTGCTATGAAAAGTCCATGAGGAGATGAGATACAGGACAACTCAGCTGAGGGTCATTCTATAAAATGATTGGCCAGTACTTTTCAAAAGTATCAAGGTGTGAAAGGCAAAGAAATATTGAGGAAGTTTTCTAGATTAATAAAGACTAAGGAGACACAAGGGTTAATGCAGCCTGTGATCCCTCATTGGATGTGGAACCAGAAAAAGGACACAGTGGAACAATTGGTGCGATCTGAATCAGGTCTATAGATTTGATAAGAGTATTGTATCCATGGTACTTTTCCAGTTCTGATCATTGTACTGTAGTTAGATAAAATGTTATCTTTGAGGGAATCTGGATGAAAGGTATATAGAAATTCTTGGTACTAACTTTCTATTTTTTTAATTTTGGGGAATACATTTAGAAAAAACACTGTCCAGGATAGGCAACTGGATAGAAATTTCTTAAAATTATTTTTGTGAAGTGATACTCAGGAAATAAACAGAAATCTGACTTACTTAATGTAACATGTCAGGGTATCTCAAAAGACCCCTTCTTAAAAGGAATTAAAGATGGAGAAGATCATTTGAGAAGTGGTTTTCATTTCCCTTTGCCAAACAAAGAATCATAGAATCTCATTGCTGGAAGGAACTGCAAAGGGAATATTGATAACGAAGAAACCAGCCACAACCTTAACATCCAACAACAGGGAATCATTTATTATGCTTCACGCACTCCATGGACTGAAGCAACAATCTAAAGTTATCTTTGTGAGAAATCATGTAGCAAAATAGAAACATGCTTATACCATAATTGTATTCCTTTAAAAATCAGGATGTGGGGTACCTAGGTAGCTCAGTCAGTTAAGCATCCGACTCTTGATTTCAGCTCAGGTCATGATATCAGGGAAAAATAAAAATAAAAATCAGGATGCAAAATATATGTACACTCTCTATAGCCAACTACCTAAAATATGCATACATGAAGAAAGACAAAGGAAATGCATGGTGAATTCAGTTAAGATGGTAGAATTGTGGGGGTGCCTAGCTGGCTTAGTCAGTAGAGCATGGGACTCTCGATCTTGGGTCATGAGTTCGAGTTCCACATTGGATGTAGAGATTACTTTTTTTTTTTTTAAGTGGAATTGTGGGGAGATGTTTTTCCTTTTTCTTTTTCTTTTTTTTCTTTTTTTAATTTTTTTTCAACGTTTTTATTTATTTTTGGGACAGAGAGAGACAGAGCATGAACGGGGGAGGGGCAGAGAGAGAGGGAGACACAGAATCGGAAGCAGGCTGCAGGCTCTGAGCCATCAGCCCAGAGCCCGACACGGGGCTCGAACTCACGGACCGCGAGATCGTGACCTGGCTGAAGTTGGACGCTTAACCGACTGCGCCACCCAGGCGCCCCTCCTTTTTCTATTTTACAAATTGCCTATGAAATTTTAAATTGCAAATGTTTTTATAGAGAAAAAGTGAAAGTTCTCTTCGTTTTGAGCGAAAATTTATCCTTCTATATAATAAATCCTAAATCTGCTTTCACACAACTGCCTTGCATACACCCGCTCCTCAGCCATAGATACTAGATACTAGATACATATATACATAGATACTAGAGACCTCACACACAATGAGGTGGCCCAGCCTCTGGGCCACTGTGCCCGACTGCAACCAGCCTTCCTGGGCTCTTACCACTTTGTATTTGATGTAAGATCTTTCATGTTTGGGAGATAAGTTTTGGGAAAGCCCATGTGAGCAGCCTTAACTTCATAGCATTTGCCCAAAACTCATTAGACATTGTCTCTATTCACCTTTTTCATTTTCATTCCTCCCCTGGGGCTGAAGCTTCACTCCTTTGCTGGTTGTCACCCTTACAAACTGTCTGGTTCTCACCAGTCCCACCCCCACTCCCAACTCTTGGGGGCTGAACTCTATTTCCAGGGGATGAGTTTGCCCAGGCTGCTGTAACAAAGCACAACAGACCAAGTGGCTTAAATAACAGAAATGTATTATCTCATAGTTGTGGAGGCCAGAAGTCCAAAATTAAGATGTCAGCAAGACTGGTTCCTCCTGAGGGCTGACAGTGAAGTCTCTGTTCCAGGCCTTTCCCCTTGGATCTTTTTTTGCATGTCTCTTCACATTGTCTCTTCTTTACGTGTCTCTATGTCCAAGCTT